ATGATTACTGTGCTCAGACGGCGGGGTATATCCTCGTGTTCCTAAGTTGGACGATCACTATCATTGCCGATGTACCTTTCCATTCATCAGCAGCAATGGTAGTGATCGTCTGACAGTTCGTTTCGTACAATTGCCAGTGATTACTGCTGCTGTACAGTGTACACTACTTGTTCATTCGTGTGATGTTAAACAGAGGGTGGTAATGGCAGGCAACTACTTGTGCTCAAGGATAATTAATTTTTGCTGAATTGCTCATCATGGCTGTAGGGACAGGGAACAATTGAGGACTGAGCTGACCATCACGTGAACACGTGCATGTGCGCACCCCAACTGGGTACACAATTTATTTTCTAAAACTAAAGATTGAGTTTTTTAATAAACTGCACTGAGCAGCAAAAAGTCACTTACGTTGATCGGTAGTTTCTGTTTCTGGACTAAAAGGAGGTGTTGAATGTTTACCTTCCTTGCACGCTGTATAAGGTAATAGGGCCTCAGTTGACCGTTGACTTTAGGGGCTACCTTCTTAGCATCCATTTTAAAATGTAGACAAAAAAAGATTGAAAATGTGAAAAACTTGCCTATTGCAGGAATAAGAATTCAACAAGCCTTTCTTTCAGTGTGAAAAAGTAATAAATTTTGCGTTGTCCGGGAATCGAACCCAGGCCAATTGCTTGGAAGGCAACTATGATACCATTTCACCAACAACGCGCTTTCGATATTGTCGAGGCAGTGGCGGCCACTCTTAAGCCTACCACCACTACGGCAGCAGGCCTCTTTCTCTCTTTTTTGGTATCTCACTGTCCGCTGGCGTCGTCTGTCAGTTACGAGAGAAAGAGAAAGAGACGGCCATGGGCGCAGACCAGTTTCTCTTCCTATCGTTTTCCTGTGTGGTGTGCTCAGACGCCACTTTCCGAAAAGTACATTGATAGCGACGCATTGGCTGACGTGATGAGGATGCTCACAGATTTGCCCGATCTTTTCTCCACATCTCTCAGTTGTTCCCTACTTTTGTGGACGACGACCTTTACTAAACCAAAACAAACTGATTTTCTTCAACTTTCAGTTGACAAATTAAGTGAAGGTACCTGCCATCGCCACTAGACAGTGGCAGAGTTTAGTGCGCCCAAAAGTTTAGTGCTCTCTTTGAGACTGGCACTAAACTCTGCCACAAACTGCTCTTTAGTTGCACGGTCGTCTGCTGTTTTGTCGCTGTCAGTTTTTAGTGACTCAATAGCTAGTCGGTGGTTGCATCAGCCCGAAGTCTGAGTGAGCTGCAGTTTGTTTGCGGTCGGCAACAGCAGAAATGGCATCATCCCGACATTGTCGAAGTTAATTAGTCGGCGCACAACTTACTCTCCGACTGACTGGCTGGCTCGTTTCAACTCGTTTGAACCGCTTGACACTGCGAATGATCTTTCTTTTCAAAGCATCAGACAACTCGGTGGTAACCATTTGCCTTGGTAGCCATTTGTGCCATTTGATGTTTGTTTCCTTTTTCTTCATATCCTTCTGTCAAATTGTAACTGTCTGTCTCACGCCAAAACACTGCCTGCTAACATTGGTGTCGCCGACACAGCGACACTTGTTCACGTGTTCAAACACAGACAGAGCAGCAACAGAGCTAGCAGCGTCAGCAGCTGATCTCATTGCCGAAAAATGGAAATTAATTACTGGCAGGAACATGAAATGTGGCTCAGTCATCATTTGCTGTGCTGNAATTACTGGCAGGAACATGAAATGTGGCTCAGTCATCATTTGCTGTGTGTATGTGCTTGCGTCTTTGCTGTCGCAGTTTCGCAGTTTTTATTGTCACATGCGACTGTGCTTGCACTGACGACTGGTTCAGACACACTGCGCCTGGCAACAGTGGGCTAACCAGAAAAGAACAGTCAGCAGAACATTCTAATTCTTTCTTTCTGGTGCGAATCACGAGTTAGTTCACTGATGATTAGGCTGCTGCTGCTGCTGCTGTTTCCTGGTCTCATTACTTCCTGATTACTGCGCCGAGCTGAGCTGGCAACCAGCAAAATGAGATCATGTTATTGTGCGGGAGTTTGAAAAGATTTCCTAGGCTACTGTAGAACTTTGTGCATTTAGAGAATTCAGGATCAGTGTCAGTTGTGTTCACTTTCATGATGAAGATTTAGTCGGAACTAAATTGGCAATTGATTGTGTTATTAGCNCCTGGTCTCATTACTTCCTGATTACTGCGCCGAGCTGAGCCGGCAACCAGCAAAATGAGATCATGTTATTGTGCGGGAGTTTGAAAAGATTTCCTAGGCTTTGTGTAGAACTTTGTGCATTTAGAGAATTCAGGATCAGTGTCAGTTGTGTTCACTTTCATGATGAAGATTTAGTCGGAACTAAATTGGCAATTGAATGTGTTATTAGCTAGTCAATTAATTAGTTGTCCTTGATTGATTTGTGGCTTGGTAGATTCAAATGAACGCACTAGATTGAACTAGATTGATGGACAGTTTTTGCCCTCAACAATCAACACAGTGTGTGGGTGTACTTTTTGTACTGTTTGTTTATTTTCCTAAGCAGAAATCAGTGTTTCTTCTCTCTTTGCTGATATGTACGACAAATCATGAGACGCAATTTCTATTTCTCGCACAAAGTCTTCTGCCACTTACTTAAAGTACTGTCTATTTTTAGTTTGTCAACAACCGCAGCAGTATATTGCACTGTATTTAGTGCCGATAAATGATGATGATGATGATCTGACCGGTGAAATTCGCACAGTTCACCTTTGACATTGTCCTACTATTGAAAGTTGACGTGTGCGATTGACAATTAATGAGAGCACTGCAATTGTAGGCAANATGATGATGATGATCTGACCGGTGAAATTCGCACAATTCACCTTTGACATTGTCCTACTATTGAAAGTTGACGTGTGCGATTGACAATTAATGAGAGCACTGCAATTGTAGGCAATGATTTACGTTGGTCAGCACCGAAACAGCATTTACGGTTGTTACTCAAAAACGGAGCTGAAAGTGGCAGACGGGCATGTTCAGGACATTTCTGGAAATTCACTGTTTGATTTTGTTTTATTTAGCGTTTCATGTGATGTTGCACACCACCTAACTGATGTACATTTCAAAGAGCACTGAAATCGCCAAGTGTGTCTGTGATTGGTGATGCCTATCGGCAATGTTGTTGTTGCTGCATCTGCTGCTGCAGCTGTCTCAAAGGTTCCATAGTTCACTGCAGCAATTCAGTGTGCTGAAATGTGTGCGTGTAAAGACGCTCAAATCACTGTAGCACAGAGAAATCATTCTAATCATCAACAGCAACGTAGTTACTTTTTTACGTGATCCTAAGTACTCAGTTGATATGTTTTGGAATACACGTGATTACTTTTGTGCCTGCTAGATTAGAAATTTTCCTCGTTGTTTTGCTCAAAGTTCAGCTCTCATCAGCTGCTGAACGCATTTTACATAATATCAGATCAAATAATTGGTGCTCCTGCATCTGCCCTCATCTGACTTGTTCATCGGTGATTTGACAAAGAGTACCAAAAAGTACTGCTCAGCTGATGCTAAAAAGGTTGACCATCACCACCACCATCATTGTACTCAGTGACAGCCCCAGAAAGCGAGGTACATTCGACCTTTTCAGAGGCGCTCATATCATCAGTGTGTGTGCGTATTGCCCGCGTGCAGCCTAGTGCTCATCACTAGCGAGGTAATAAAGCAGCAGCCAGTAGTAACAGGATGGCTGGCTGGAGCTCGTCTAGCTCCGGCTCGAGTCGGCTGTTCAGCAGTGCCGAAGCAGCAGTAGCAGCAGCAGCACCTCATTCGCTATACAGAAGACTGGCTGCAATGTTCCCCACTCTTATCGAGCTTGCATCCATCCACCAACAGAGAAAGAGAGAAAGATCACCAAACTCATGCTCGTTTGTTTGTATGCTGTGGTGGTATTTTTTGTAGTGGTAGCACTTGAAACTAGCGGGGATTGAGTGCTGTGCTGTGGTTGTGGTGGTCGAACCTGGCCAGTCACTGTACAGTAGTGCCACTAGTAGTGCAACACCTTTGCCTTCCCCCTCCTCTCAGTCTTGAGACTCTGCAGACTGCAAACTGTGTCTCTGGAGTCTCCTCTCGTCTCGTCTCGTCACTTTTCCGAGTATAAATAGACCCTGTGCTGTGACAGTGCCCACTCATTCCCTCGACACATGGCCCCGAGAAACAAGCTAACTTCGTTGCAAAACCTGCTAGTTGCCTCCTCCTTGTCCCCACATCTTAAGCTTGGCTGTCAGCAGATGACAGCAATTGACACCTCCGCCGACCATCACATATACCTCTTTGAATCGCTTTTTGCCAATTAATTTGATTTTGACTTTGGCTCTAAACTTTTCTGTTTAGAGTTTCTGAACACACTACTGAATACCAATTTTTGGTAAACACCTTCTAGCAATCCCTAACTTTGACTTCATTTTCTAACCAAATTCCTTTTCTTCCTCTTTCTCTTTTCCCCAGAGTTTTCTCCTCTGACCACCACCTACTGACCTCCCGCACCATGCTTTCCGTGGCCAACCAGAAGCATCACTTTGAGGCGTCGAAGAACACCCTCCTCGGCTGCCAGACCAGCCTCGTCAATGGCCTGCCCGTCTCTCAGCTGACCAGTGGTCGAAAGTTGACCAGCCTGAGCACGGCCACCCTCAACGACGCCGTGCGCACCTTCATCGAGGAGAAGGCCCGCGTCTGCACGCCCGATCAGGTCCTCGTCTGCGACGGCTCCGAGGCGGAAAACCAGCAGCTGATCGACCTGATGGTGAAGGAGGGGCAGCTGGAGAAGCTGACCAAGTACGAGAACTGCTGGCTCGCCCGCACCGACCCCGCCGATGTCGCCCGCGTCGAGTCAAAGACGGTCATCAGCACGCCCAACCGCGCCGACACCGTTCCCACGACCAAGGATGGCGTCAAGGGCACGCTGGGTAAGTCGAAATCGAAAGCAGTCTCTGGTGATTACTAGCAAAACTAACCAAAAACTTCTATCACTAGGAATCTGGATGTCCCCCTCTGACCTGGAGAAGGCCCTCGGCGAGCGCTTTCCCGGCTGCATGAAGGGCCGCACCATGTACGTGATCCCCTTCTCGATGGGCCCCATCGGCTCCCCGCTCTCCAAGATCGGCATCCAACTGACCGACTCCCCCTACGTGGTCGCCTCCATGCGCATCATGACCCGAATGGGCGCCGATGTCCTCCAGTCGCTGGGCGCCTCCGCCGACTTTATCCGCTGTCTGCACTCTGTGGGCTGCCCCCTGCCCCTCTCCAAACCANGCCAAGCGCGAGGGCTGGCTCGCCGAGCACATGCTCATTCTGGGCATCACCAATCCGCAGGGCGTCAAGCGGTACGTCGCCGCGGCCTTCCCCTCCGCCTGCGGCAAGACCAACCTGGCCATGCTGACGCCCACGCTGCCCGGCTACAAGACCGAGTGCGTCGGCGACGACATCGCCTGGA